CACCCAGAAGTCGAACTTCAGGACCCCCACAGCTGGATGAAAGGAGGGGTGTGTGAACCTTAGAAACGGGGCAAAGCCTCCTTTGAGCCAGCAACTCTAGACAAACAACATCTCCGCTTTGCTGTGAAGTCAGCATTAATACCTACAAAAACTCACCAGTATTCACTTCGCGAGGAGAAAATAATCTTAGCCCTCTGTGGTACTTCAGAAAGCCGTTTCTCTTGTGTCTATGAAATCCCTGGAACCCCTCCTCCTCCTCCACTATTTTTGGTTTTAAATTACACATTTGTGATTTATGATGTTTATGTGAAGCTTGCCTCACGCTTCTTTACATCAACTTCTCCGGATCCATATTCCCGATTTGTCATCAACGTTCTCACAACATCTTGTCCCTTTAGGAGTTTGCAAATAACACCAATGCTGTTCTGAAACGCATGAGGGGCCCTTGGGGCTCTCTGAACTTGGCTGTTTTCTTGCAGATGTTTCATTACCCAACTAGGTAACATCATCAGTGCTAGAAGGGGGTGAGCGCTTGTGGAGAGGAGGAGGAGAACACAGTAACAGAGTTGAATGGGACCTTGCAGGTCATCTAGTCAACCCCCTCCCCACCCAAGCAGGAGACACTACACCATTTCTGACAGGTGGCAGTCCAGTCTCTTCTTGAAAGCTTCCAGCAATGAAGCTCCCACAACTTCTGAAGGCAACTTCTGTTCCATGGGTTGATTGTTCTCACTGTCAGAAAATTTATTCTTGTTTCCATGATGAATCTCTCCTTGTTCAGTGTCCATCCATTATTCCTTGTTTGGCCTTCAATGGTGCCTTGGAAAATAGCTTGACCCCTTCCTCTCTGGGACAGTCCCTCAAATATTGGAAGACCGCTCTCCTGTCTCCCCTGGTCCTTCTCTTCACTAAACTAGCCAGGTCCAGTTCCTGCAACCGTTCATTGTATGTTTTAGTCTCCAGTCCCCTAATCATCCTGGTTGCTCTTCTCTGCTCTCTTTCTAGAGTCTCAACATATTTTTTATAGTGTGGTGATCAAAACTGGAGGAGGAGGAGGAGGAGGAGGAGGAGGAGGAGGAGGAGGAGGAGGACTGTGGGATCCTTAGTGCTGTCTGAGTGTGCTTGTTTTCTCGCAGACGCACTGGAATTCTAGTCTGCTTTGAAAGAATCCCTAAAAAATAGGAAAAAACACTGGATGTTTTTTTCTGCACAACTCTGAGAAATGTGTCTATAACTAAACTGCAGCTTTGGAGTCTTGACATGATGTACGATTGACTTACCCTCACTGTTGGGCGTCATCATTTCCTTTGCTCCAGTAGCTTTTCAAGGCCAGTGGGGGTGATAAGGTTAGGACTCCAAAGCCCACTTAGGAGAATGGGCAAACTGAGGTTTAGTGACCCCCAAACAAACGTTGGCAAACCAACAGTTTACGCGAACTGTCTCTCTCGTCTAAAATAAGGAGGCCCACCTATGATCTTAACTGTATCAGTTTTGCCTCTGATGAAAGAAACAGGGTTCTACTGTGTATGGGATACTTGGCTTGGAAAGTCCGAGCCAAAAAAAAAATAAGTATGGGAAAGGCTCTAAGAATAACAACAACCTGATGAAGACAGAGGAGTTTTTCTCCCCTACCCTGCGTTGAACTTTTGAAGCCTTTCGCACTAAGGCGTCTCAAATGTCTTCCCTTGGGATCCTTCCCTGCCTGGCCTTACCCTCCCAGCCTCGGGCAAGTTGTTCAGAAGTCTGAGCTAAAACAAACACCCGTCCCCCCAACTCTTTCAACCTTTCCCTTCGGTTCAGCTAACACACCGCCCCCTCAATCCAATTCTTTCCAAAAGAACAGAACAGCGTGACAGAATTGGAAGGGACCTTGGAGGTCTTCTAGTCCCACCTCCTGCCTAGGCAGGAAACCCTACATCACTTCAGACGAATGGTTATCCAACATCTTCTTAAAAACTTCCAGTGTTGGAGCATTCACAACTTTCTGGTGGCAAGTAGTTCCACTGGTTAATTGTTCTAACTGTCAGGAAATTTCTCCTTAGTTCTAGGTTGCTTCTCTCCTGGATTAGTTTCCATCTGTTGCTTCTTGTCCTGCCCTCAGGTGCTTTGGAGAATAAGTTGACCCTCCCTTCTCTGTGGCAGCCCCTCAAATATTGGAGCATTGCTATCATGCCACCCCTAGAATAGCATAGCACAGCACAGCACAGCATCTTGGAGATCTTCTAGTCCAGGGGTCGCCAACCTTTTGGACCTCAGGGACCACCAAACTCATAATTTTAAATCCCGAGGACCACTAACCAGTAGTGTGGGCGTGGCCTAATTTGTGGGTGTGGCTTGGTGGTCATATAATTGGCTGGGCACGTAAATATTATAAATATTTATATAAATGTTGAATTTTGTATTTTTTTTAAAAAAGAGCAACTTTTACCCAAAATCAGGGAAAGCAGGCAGGCAGATTGAGTTGCTCACAGAATCACAGATTCATTCAGATATCTATCTATTCGCCATCGGCTGCCTGAGTCTGTCACATAAAAATTTGCTTGCAAGGAAGCTCATAAAATTAACTCACAACACACCATGTATGTAAATATTGAATTTTTTATATTAAAAAAAAGAGCAACTTTTACCCAAAATCAGGCAAAGCAGGCAGGCAGCTTGAGCTGCTCACAGAATCATTCAGTGATCTATCTATCTGCCATCGGCCAGCTCAGTCTGTCACGTAAAATTTGCTTGCCGCGAGTCTGCACTGAATGATAGAACCTTCAGTCCTAAAGGAGGTTGGGCGGTGCTTAAAAGCAGAGCCAAAGATCTAAAGACTAGCTAGTCCAACCCCCTGTTCAAGCATATTAGAGAAATGGTTGTCCACTCTCTTCTTGAAAACCTCCAGTGATGGAGCGGCCACAACTTCTGGAGGCAAGTCGTTCCGCTGGTTAATTGTTCTCACTATCACGAAATTTCTTCTTAGTTCTAGGTCTGCTCGATTAGTTTCCATCCCTTGCTTCTTGCCTTGCTTCGGGTGCTTAAAAAACAGGTTGACCCCCTCTTCTTCTTAATATTGGAAGACTGCCATCATATCATAAACACACACACACACACACACACATCCAGCAGGCCTTTCTTTTCTCACTAGAGTAGACACACCCCATTCCTGCCACCGTCCTTCTCCCTTGTATGTGTTTGACGTCAACTGTTGCTCAATAACGTATCAACAAATGCAACGGCAGCAGGAGAGAGCAATGGGAGCTTAACAGCGTGTGATTGTGTAACCCCTATGAAGGCCTATGGTACGAATTCACTCCGAGGAGAGAGGACGAAGGCTGATGGATGGGTTTGCAGGAATAACTTCATTTCTGAAAGGTCGAGGCAAGACGTAATTGTTCCTGCGTATCCTCAGGATCTGATTAAAGCCAAGGCCAGTTTACTGTAAGAAAGAAAATGACATTAAACATGATCCGATTAGGCTACACAACCCCTTTCTGGCCAGATTCCCAAAGGATTCGGGCACATCGTTTGGAATTTCATCATCGTGCGCTTTATGTGAGTTTGTGTCATTCCTTGTATTCTAGCTTTGGCTGAAGGTTCTTCTTTCAGACCGAAATTCATCAGGTCAATCCCCTACTCAACCAAGGGTGGCAGAGGTGGCATTCAGCAGATTCGGACCAGTTCTGGAGAACCGGTAGCGGAAATTTTGGGTAGTTCGGAGAACCGGCAAATGCCACCTCTGACTGGCCCCACCCCATCTATTCTCCGCCTCCCATTGAGTCCCAGCTGATTGGCTGGGTCTCCTTTGGTTGCCCTGCACAGGAGAACGGAGCTGAAAAGTAGGTCAGTCAAGTGGGGAAGGAATGGGGATTTTACAGTATCCTTCCCCTACCACGCCCACCAAGCCACACCCACAGAACCGGTAGTAAAAACATTTGAATCCCAACCACTGGCTGGAACTCTTTTGATTTTGAGTTTTTTTTTTAAAAAAAATCTCCTTTCCGTGGCCAGAGGTCAGGTTCCTTACATAAAACATGGATCTCCTCTCTTGTCCTCAAAATTGACACCACTACAATTTTGGTTTCTTGGAAGTCCAAATGTACTTTGATAGAAAAGAAATCATTGTGAAAATCCCTCTAAATATTGCTTCATTTATGTTCACAAAGGGGGACCAACCCTGTTCCACGAGGAAGGCTCGGTAACAAGAATTAAAATTCAATGCAAAGATTAGAAAACGACAATGAAAGATGATCAAAGTATTAGAAATAATATGAGTATAATGATAGTTAAAATATGTATACATATAGAAACCCCGGTTAGAACTATAGGAATAAGAATGGTATTGTATAAAGAAAAGATAAATGGTTGAGCATAGGAGGTATAATAGAATGCGTAATGTATAATGTTGATACAACCAGTGTATTACAGTTGTAAAATTGAAGCTGTAATACAAAATGAAGAAAATGTATAATAAAACTTTATTTTAAAAAAAAGAATTAAAATTTGCTAGTGATTGGGATGAAACCGAGTACTAGTGCCTACATCAGTAGAAACTTCATGAGTTTAATTTATTCTTTTTCTACTCTTATCTCCATTATATTTTTGGTCAGTCTATGGAGATTCTCCATCATCCAAATCATGGTTGTCCCAAAGGTGTTTTTTTAAGAGGCAACTGGACCTTCTGAATTTTCTTCTTCAAAGAAGATAAAACACCCAGAGTCAAACTGAGCAACGTGGTTATTTGCAACACAGTGCAGATCTGTACATTGGGGAAACAAAACAACCACTTCACAAACCCATGACACAAAATAGGAGAACAAACCCATCAGGATTCAGCAGTCCATCTGCATTGAAAAGACAAAGGCTACTCGTTTGAAGAAGAAAAAAAGCACTTTTGGGACAACCATGACCTTGGATGGCCGAGAATCTCCATAGACATCCCACAACGTCTTTCTTCCTGTACAACTAACCGGTTTTTGTCCTTGCTCCAAACCATCCGCCTGTTTTTTCCTTCCTAGGCGTTCAAGGGTGCCCTCATGAGTTCTTATTGGTGTTCGGGGAAAGGAGATGTGGTTGAGGATTGGTGCCGATGTGACCTTAACGCCTTTGATGAGAATGGCCTCCCCAGCTGCAGCGCACTCCCCCAGCCTGTGTGAGTATCTCTTTTCCAACAGGGCCTGCATTTTTTTTTTTAATCCAGCCAAAATATCCCCTGTCCTAATTTTTCTTTTTTTGCCTCAGTCTTTAATGTCAATCGAGAAGAATAATTGTAGGTCAGAGTTGAACGGTGGGGTCCTCGGTGCTCTCTGAGCTTGGTTGTTTTCTTGCACACCTTTCATGACCCAACTAAGTAACATCATCAGTGCTGGAAGGGAGTGGATGTTTGTGGGAGGAGGAGGAGGAGGAGGAGGAGGAGGAGGAGGAGGAGGAGGAGGAGGAGGAGGAGGAGGAGGACAATGACTGTGGGGTCCTTGGTGCTTTCTGAGCTTGGTAGATGCATTCTTGTAGGTGTTTCATAACCCAACTAGGGAACATCATCAGTGCTAGAAGAGGTTGGGGTTTGCGGAGAGGAGGAAGAGGACTGGGGTTCCTTGCTGCTCTCTGAACTTGGCAGTTTTCTTGCAGACATTTCAATACCCAACTAGGTAACACCATCAGTGCTACAAGGAAGTGGGGTTTGCAGAGAGGTGGGGGGAAGAGGAGGAGGATACTGGGGTCCTCAGTTCTCTCTGAGCTTGGTTGTTTTCTTGAAGACATTTTATTACCAAGCTAGGTAGCATCATCAGTGCTAGGAGGAGCTCTAGAGAAACAGAGAGCAAACCCCACTCTCTTCTAGCACCAAGAAGGAGCAAACCAACAAGGGGGTGGGACGCAAAGGCGACTGTATTTCTTATAGCAAGATGGGTTGTAGAGATGCCTGTTTTGTGGGGATGTGTCGAATCAAACCTTTCTCTGACGTGGTTGTATCCCCAATGCCACAAAGGAGAAATTGTGTTCAATATCAGACCAATCTTTATGAGAATGAAGGTATGCTGTGTTGCGCCTCACCACAAACTTTCCCACCAATCTCTTGTCTATTTCCAGCACCAGGGAAAAGTCGATTTTCAATCCGACCCTCCTTTTTTAAAAAATTCCTTATTCTTTCTAGGTTGCGTCTTTCTCCCAACGTGGAGCCCTCGAGCACCGTGGTCTCCTTGGAGTGGTATGATGTCCAACCCGCCATTGGAACCAAAGTCTCTGATTACATCCTGCATCACAAAAAGGTGGATGAATACACAGACACCGACCTGTATACAGGTGAGTAGATGCTGGCATCCGTTTATGGAACACCTTACCTGTGAAGGCTCCCTACGTCCCATGGCTTGGTGGGCGTGACAGGGGAAGGATACTGCAAAATCCCCACCCTACTAACCTGCTTTTCAGCTCCGTTCTCCTGTGCAGGGCAACCAAAGAAGACCCAGCCGATCAGCTTGGGATTCAATGAGAGGTGGAGAATAGATGGGGGCAGGGCCAGTCAGAGGTGGCATTTGCCGGTTCTCTTAACTACTCAAACTTTTTGCTACCGGTTCTCAAGAACCGGTCAGAACCTGCTGAATACCCACCTCTGGAACTGCTCCTTCGTAAAGTGTCCCCTACTAACAGTGTGCAGCTGAGAGAAGTGTGTCAGGCAATTCCCTCCCATCCACCTCCCCAAAAAATTGCAGAACGAGTTGCACGTGGGAGCCAGAATATTAGATCATGGCAGGAATGGTCTCTGCCTTTGGAAGTCTGCGATGCGCAGTTGTTGGGTTTTGTTTTGTTTTTTTGTTTAATGGGGTGATGAACAAACCAACGTGCCTTAGAGGCATCTGGAACTAATATTATTCGGCTGGGGAAATGTTCTTCTTGTCACCCTTCTGCTACTCTGGTGGAAGAGTGAGAATGCTCGGGAGGAGGAAGAGGGACAGAGAAAAACATATGTTCCACGTTTTAAGGCGCAGGGATGAATAACAGCACGTAACAAAATGGGGGATTTGTAATGTTATAGTAGCAGGTGGAGGAGGAGGAGGCATCCTTCTAGGCACCTAAAAAGCCACATCTTCTAGGAAAACGGATACATCAAGAAGAAAAAGGCAAAAACTGGGTTGCTTTCCTGTGTGCCTGGAATAAATGCTCTTTTTTTTAAAAAAAAGATATGTTTTTATTAAGTTTCCATTATTACAACATAATACATCATGGTTTCAACAGCATTCCTGACATCTCTACTGGTTCTTATCATTAATATATACATTATATTTACATTTACAAATATACATTATATTTACGTTTATCTAATCTTGATTAATAGCTTTAACTATAATTATTGTTCTTAAATATATTCTTATATATTTTACATATTTACATTTTACTTTCTTGAAGTCTCTTGCAGTTAAATTTCTTATCTTGTTTCTGTTTGTTACCCAATCATACCATTCAAATAAGTGGTCTTATTTTCATCGCACCAGCCATATTGCACCAAATGACTGTGAAATAGAAGGGGAAAAAGACTGTTTCGATACGGTATAGGATCTCCTGCTTGAACAGGGGTTGGACTAGAAGGCCTTCAAGGTCACTTCCATCTCTGTTCTGATTGATTGAAAACATTGGGGTTTTTTTTTCCACATAGAACAGAATAGAATACTTTTATTGGCCAAATGTGATTGGAAACACAAGGAGTTTGTCTTGGTGTAAATACTCTCAGTATACATAAATAAAAGATACATTCTCTTAATCCCTAGACTAGCCAGGCCCAGTTCCTGTAACCATTCATCATAGGTTTTTGCCTCCAGCCCCCTAATCATCTTGGTTGCTCTTCTCTGCACTCTTTCTAGACTCTCAAAATCTTTTTTTATAGTGTGATGCACTGGTTGGATTCAAGCCAGTTCATGCCAGTTTGGGTGAACCGGTTGTTAACTTTCTGAGCAGTTTGGCAAATTGGTTGTTGGAAGAAATCTTTAGGGCAGAGAACTGGTTGTTAAATTATTTGAATCCCACCATTAGTGTGGTGTCCTTGTTGCAGTGAACTCAATAACCACCATTAAAACGGCTTTTTTTTCCACGAGATTCCCTTGTCCTCCAATTCACCTCTCTATCCAGGTGTCCCCAAAAACTTCAAGGCGGTTCCTAAAATCAGCCACTCTGCTCTGCTCTATATACCTCGGTGCCTTCATCCCAAAAAGAAGCCTTCAGAGCTGCCAAAAGAAAGCTGGAACCATCCATTTAAAGTGTTTCATTGCTTTTCTCAATTTTCCCCCCCTCAGAGAAAGATGGCCAAGAAATGATAGGGCGGTGGTTTGACTAGCTTTGCTTCACATGAATGAAATTCAACTCAAATTTGGCGGAAAATGAACTCGAGTTAAGATACTCTGTTTACTACGCTTTATGCCTCTGGGACGAAAAAGTTTTGTCACTATCAATTGGTCGTAACAGAATAACAGAGCTGGAAGGGACTTTGACGGTCTTCTAGTCCAACCCGTTGATTCAGCAGGGAACCCTTAATACCATTTCAGACAAATAGTTGTTCTATCGCTTCCTATAAACCTCCAGTAGTAATAGAAGAGCAGGGTTGACGTGAGGGTTCTTTGATGTTCTGTGAGCTTGCTCGTTTTCTTGCAGAGTTTTCTTTCATTACCCCAACCCGTGCTAGCACTGATGGTGTTACCTAGTTGGGTAATGAAACATCTGCAAGAAAACAAGCAAGCTCAGAGAGCACCAAGGACCCCTCAAAACCTCCAGTGTAGGAGCATCCACGAGTAGAAAATAAAGTAATATTGTTGTAAGGGACCTTGGAGGTCTGAGTTTCTGTCTCAAGATATATATTTTTTCATTTCTCTTTTAGTGGAAATATTTTATCCTACCTTTTTTACATATTCCTTAAAATATTTCATTCTTCTGGAGGAGGGGATGGCTTCCCATAATAGGCTGATTGATAGATTGGTAGGTAGATTGGTTGGTGGTAGGTTGGTTGGTTGGTTGGTAGGTAGATTGGTTTCTTCTGGCGTACCACAACTGATCGCCACATCTTCAAGGTCTGTTAGGTTGGTAGATAGGTAGGTAGGTTGGTTGCTTGGTTTCTTCTGGCGTACCACAACTGATCGCCACATCTTCAAGGTCTGTAGGTTGGTAGATAGGTAGATAGGTAGATAGGTTGGTAGGTTACTTGGTATCTTCTGGCACACCACAGCTGATTCCCACCTCTTCAAGGTCCCTGGCTTGCTTTCAATGTGTTCCATAATATCAAGTCTTCTGCCTCGGTTCCTTGTCTACACCCTAGACAGTCTTGTAACTTTTGGCAGCCCTCCCACCTCCTTCCATCTCACAAGGTGGCATCATCAATCATTTTCAGAGGAAGGAAGGGAGAGTTGTGTTCCTTTTAAGGACATGTTTTTCTCTTCTTCCACTCCCAAAAAAAAATATTAAAATAAAATAAACCAGCCAGATTTCCCCAAGGGGTTCCTGTAAAGGAGAAGCAAAATATTTAGGTGTCCAGGAACAGTTTCCTATTGAGGAAAAATGAATGTTTGGAGGTTTCGGCTTAGCAAGGAGGCAAGTAATGGGCAACTGAGAGAACTGGGTGGTCATCCCTGAAAACGAGGATTGGAGAAAGGAGAGGGAGTTCCTTTTGACATGGAGCAGACAATTCCCCATCAGTAGACACACCAAGGATCCTCAATTTACATTGTTTTAAAAGAAGATTTAAGGAACACACACACACACACACACACACACACACACACACACACACACACAGTGATATCTAATTCTGGCAGCTGTTTATTTCCCCCTGCATCCTTATACACTCCAGCTGTTGTAGAGTTCCTACCAGTGAGGGCTTTGGCTATATTTTCTTGGTCCTGATGATGGGAGGCAAAAGAATGGCCTTGGGACGATCCAGGAGCTCCCTTTCTTTTTTTATTCGGGGAGTGGGGGGCTTCTCTGGAGTGTCACAATTTTATTAGGGTTGAATTGTATTCTAGCACAATACTTCTATTGAGTCACCTGGCATATCAATGTGTAGAGGAGGAGGAGGGGGGAGGAAGAGGAGGAGAAGGAGGCCCTTTGATAAAACTTGATTTGATCCTAAACTACCAGCATCATCCTCTTCTCCTCATTGCTTCCTCCACCCTTTCCTCTTCCTCCTTTTTCTCTTCCTCCTCTGCTTCTCATCTGTCTCCTCTTTTTTCTCCTTCTTTTTCTTTTTCTCATCAGTCTCCTCCTCTTTCTCCTTCTCCTTTATCTCTTTTTCCTCCTCCTACTCATTCTCATCTATCTCTTCTTCCTCTCTTTCCTCCTCCTTTTCCTCATTCTCCAACTCCTTTTTCTCTTTCTCCTTCTGCTTCTCATCTGTCTCCTCCTCCTTCTCCTTCTCCTTTATCTCTTTCTCCTCCTACTACTCATTCCATTAAAAATAAGACTAGGGGATCCATAGGGAAATGCTCACATTCATTGTAGCCCCAGGAATGGAAGAGATGCTAGTCCTAGGTCTCACATGGCTGCAGAAATGGAATCCAAAAATAAATTGGAGGACAGGAACTGTACAATTCCAGAGAGATGTAGTATTTGCAAATAGCTCAGAGGAAAGGATAAAGAAAGGAACAGAGAACAGAGAGTCAGCCATGACCGGACAGTCGGTTGAAACCATTAACATCCCAAATGAGTACCAGGAGCTGGCCCAAGCATTTAGTGAGGAAGCTGGTGATGAACTCCCACCCCATCGCACCACAGACTGCGCCATCGAAATCCTACCAGGGGCTAAATTCCCAAAACCACAAATGCACTGCATGTCCCCCAGAGAACTGAAAGAACTCAGAGCATTTATCGATAAAAATTTAAAAAGGGGTTTCGTTGAACCCACCCGTCCTAAAATAGCTGCCCCAGTGTTATTCCGCGAAAAGAAAGATGGCTCAGCACGCTTGTGCGTTAATTACAAAAAATTGAACGCAATTTGCATAGAGAATATGTATCCACTCCCCTTCATGAAGGACGTGTTAGCCCATCTCTCGGAAGGAATTTTTTTTTCAAAGTTAGACCTACGAGAGGCATATTACCGCATCAGAATAAAGGAAGGGGATGAGTGGAAGACAGCTTTTAACACACCATTGGGATGCTACCAATTTAAAGTGCTTCCCTTTGGACTGCAAGGAGTGCCTGCCGTGTTTATGCAATTGATCAATGAAACCCTTCATGAATTTTTATATAAAGGGGTTCTAGTGTATCTTGATGATATTTTAATCTACACGGAAACGATGGAAGAACACATCAAGCTACTCCGTGCACTC